ATAATATTAAACTCGATGTAAGAAGAAGAAAAACGGCCACGACTCTGCACCAACGGACGGAAGCGCGACCCCACGCAATAGAGGAGCCACAAAGGCCACAAAACACAAAAAACAAACTCAAGAAACGGAGGGAGAAGAACACGAGGAATGTGTACACACACGCACACGCCGCGCATATACGCGGGAGGAACAGGGACATGGAAACTTTGAGGCCAATGGTACCCCGGAAGGAGCAATAATTTCTCGCCGTTTTTTCTCTTTGCTTCTCTGACGTAACTCGCCCGCGGCGGTTCTATTGATGACATAGAGTGTGGCCACGGCGGCGGTGGCGAAGGCGGTTAGAGAACAACAATTACGCATCGCGTGGACGTCGGTGCGTGCAAACGTTGTTCAATCGCGCAGCGTCTCTCCGCCGGAGCTCAGGGAAGACCATCACGGACAGAAAGGTCGTTCCGGCGGGACTCTAATGGTCATCAGGGTCCGGAGACTCTCCCCGCCGGACGTGTGCTGCCTTCCGTCGTGCGGCTTCCAGCGTGTGGACACGCGTCGCTTTCGAGTAGGGGGCAGTCGTATCTATACACTTACGATGTTCTCTGTCACGCTAGAGCAAGAAAACCGTTTGAAATTACCAAAGCCGCAGCCCCCACATGACCATACGTCATACAAGGGACGCGGTGTTTGAAGCATATTTGGTTCATATGTATGTCTGCTTCGAAGTTTTCTGCAGACAGTTTTTGTTACCGCGAGGTACAAATTGTTGGAGGAACGGGTGTGAGCGCGTGCGGCTTTAGATTGTATACTTCCGTTGAGCCGCTGGTCGGCAGTTGTGCTCCCGCGCCATCATGCTGCCGAAGATCCTTCTACGGAAATCGTTCGACTTCTGTCGTCGAAGACGAGTGACTGTTGTTGAATCGCGCCACCAGGGATAAAAAAAAAAATGGAACCAAGCAGATATGATTGTATTCTGCCTGATATTTAGATATTTGGAAGCACTTCTCTGTTTCTCTCTTGACACTCCCGAAAAAAACTTTCCACGTACTGCCGCCTCCGAGAGGGCGCTCCATATCGTTACTTTTTAGATTAAGTTATAGTTGAAGCACGTGGAGTGAAAAAGCTGGTGTTGCGTGCTAACCAATAAGAACACTGGCTTCTATCCCCACCACTGTCCCGTTTCGATCTGGACGGGCATCATATACCGCGGCCTGCGGTCGTGTATCATCACTACCGCGTGATGCAATAGCTGTCGTATTGCACTGGCCAAATTTGTCACTCACATCGTGTACCAATATGGCGAAAGGGTTTTGCAGATTAACCCCACGCTGTCGAAACATCTAACGACACATTTAACATCTTTCTGACGTTCCGACAAAATTCACTGACCTCTGTCGACTCTCTTGGCTTTCACTGGTTTTCACCGGGCCATGTCGGCATCTACCAATAAACTTGCTCGATGCCCGGCACACAGCGCTCTGAGAACTGGAATCGACCTTGTTCGAAAGAGAGTAGCGATATTCAGATTCAAGCGTTGAAATTTCTCACTGCACCGAAAGAAAACCTAAACAACATCAATCCGCAAAAGCCTTAAAAAATCCTTAAAAAAAATAAAAACTTAGTGAGGTATTGTTATTTGTTACTCGGACAAGAAGTAACCAGAGCACGTGACTCGCGTCTGTTTCAGGAAAGAAACGAAGTCGCTACTTCGTTAATGAAAAGAGTAACGAAATTCAAGTAAATCGCTACTTGTAACGCACTCAAACTGGTTCACACATTTGCATCTGAATCTGATCGACTGCGTTGCAACCGCGAACGACCGCTCACGGCGAGAGAAAGCACTGTCGCCGTCTGTCGGATAGCCCGGGAACCTTTCCAATCTGCGTATATTTTTACGCGTTTGTTTTTCAACGTGGGCTCGAATTAATTTGAACAATGTTATAAACGAAAAATTTTCGTAGAGAGTGCGTAGGTTTCATCTCGCAAATAGTGCAAACCTTTCAGTCTAGCTGCACAACCAATCAGAGCTCGGCGCGCTGACGTCGTCGCACCCTCTCCTCTCCTCCTCTCCCTCGGTTTCTCTCCGTATGCAGAGAGAAAGTTGTCTGCTTCTAGCACAATAATTGCAGTGACATCAGAATGACGCTTTGATTGAAAGGATAGTGAGTAGACTTCAATGATAGACGCCTTTAGGTCTACCCACTATTTTTTTTTTTTTCAATCAGCCAATAAGAGCTCGTTGTCCTGGCATCATCGCGAGTCCTGAAGAAAAGCAGACGAACTTGCGCTCTGTACAGCGACAGCTCGGGGGAGGGAGCTGGCACGAAACGAACTTAGCCCGTCGAACCGAACCAGACTTTTGAGGTCTTCTCCGGGGAGGACCCTCCGAAAGAAGACAAAATGCGTAGCTGCAATTAGCCCAGTTCTGGATTTGCCTCTCGGAATGAAAGGGAAAACGCCAAGAAACAAGAACGAGGCGATAAAATGGTCGCGCGGAGGTCTCCGGGGGCTCACGCTGACCCAGATGGAACGGCAACGAGGGTTCATGTCGTCTGTCTTAGTGCGCCCGGATTTCAGAGTGGTTTCAACCGCTCGATCGGAGTCGTTTGCGATGCCAGCCGCGAGGGGGCGACGAAAGCGTTGAGCGCCTCCCCTCGGCGCATGCGCTCTTCCACCGACTTGCGCAGGAGGCGTCCGCCATTATTTTCCAAACCCTCCCCATGATTTGAGTTGCCCTCTTAAATCTGGGGCTCTCTGGTCTCTCTGCCTCTGTCCTGGCGTTTTGTGTAGACGTGTAGACATGCTGCAGACATCGACGCGACGTACCCTCCATATACTGCTAGAGTGCCCAGATTTGAAAGTGTTTCCAACTGCTCGATCAGAGTCACGTGCTTTGTGGGCCGCGTATTTGCTGGTGGCCGTAGCTGTGAACACTATCAAGATGGCCGCTCTTGGCAACTCATTAATGCCACCTCGTCCTGAGCATGCACTCTAAACAGCACCCACAAGTATGGCGTCCGGAGAATCCTCCCTATAAGGAGTATTCACTGGACGCCATATTTGTGGGTGCTCTCTAGAGCGCATGCTCAGAACGCGCCCCCATTAATAGGCTGCTAAGACCGGCCCTTCTGACGGTGTGGAATGCACGTTGCAAAAGAACCGTGGAAGCTAGCCATCAGCACGCGCTCAGCAGTCGTGCACACAGCTATGGCCGCCAGTGAATACTTCCTATACAACGTCCATCGTCTGCCAGCCTTTCTGCCACGAGCCGCAACACACGCACGCGCACGAGCAACCAAACGTTATGCGTTCCTGAATTGCTCCCTCTCTTAACTCTGGGCTCTCTAGCTTCTGCATACCTGTTCTGCGTACTAAAACTGGATACGGCACGAATCGCAGACTGTGCGAGGCCGGTTGACTTCTGAACTCTGGCCTTATATATAGTTCGTGGCGACTGAATTTTGAATCGCGCTGGTACGTACCTCTCTCGCGCCGCGCAGATGTCAAGGCTTTTGTGGCGCCCGATGCCCGCCGAACTTGAGTGTTAGCCGCCATCATACTACCAGTCTAGCGGGCTGTGTTTGCAAGGTGGTCGATTTGTACGACCGCCGCAATATCGCGCCGCAGTTCTAGGTGCGGAAGACAGTGCAGTTTGGTACTGGTATACGATGAAAACTTTGCGACTTGGTTTCAACAACGAGGAAAGGAGCTTAAAATGCACTGCCTGAGGCTGAAAACAACAACACAAAACGTTCCTACGCCTGGTGTCTGCTCTGTTGCTGTCTTTACCGGAGCATAAAATATTCATAAATTGCTTTTGACACAAGCACACAAAATTTCGTTTTGTCTTATAGCTGATGCTGTCGTAGTTTCTGTATCTACAGAAATTCGCTGCATATTTCACCTATTCTGCAGAAATTATGAATCCTGATTTAGCTTGGTTATTTCTACGATACATAAAAAAAAAATCGCCACGTCAGTCACTGAGTTTCATAGCATCCTTAGTCATAAATGCGGAAACAAAAAAACAAAACGCGTGCACGTATAAATGCTTGAAGAAGTTATAACGAAAAAGCCGCCGATATTTTCCCGGTTCTCTCTAATTTAAGAGGCCATAATCAAAATTAGTGTGGCGGAAAAGTGCTAATTTTTGGCGCACACCCCCGAGTGCCGAAAACTTCACTCCCAACATTACTAATGCGAAAGCATTAACTGTCCCACGGAGCGAAACCGGCGTTGTCTGTAACCATCTGTAGCAGAAAAGCGGCAGCTAAATTCCCATTCCCAATAAAACCGAAAGAAAAGCACAGCCACGCGGATGCATCGTCAGGGAAGCCGTGGAGCCGGCAGGGTTCCCCGCGCATGCGCTGTGGGAAAGCGTGACGTCATCGCCGGAGCGCAATAGGAAGACGCGGCGAGCTGCTTGTAGGGATGCGCTGCGTGCACGAATGCTTTCGCATTCCTACACGTAAGCAATCTTAAGTGTCTTCTTTAATCTATAACACTGTCCGATTTAAGATGTAAAAAAAAATAAAATGAAGCGCCGAGATCGTGTTTATTTTAACAGTGTCGCGCAGATTGCGAGCGCACCTCGGCCAGAGTATAAATCCGACAACTAAAAAAAAAAAAAATGCGTTCACCAGTGCTCAAGAAAAACAAAATACTGTTTTGTCTTTACATGTTGCCAGACAAAAGTGTGTGTTGTGGCATTCAGCCGCGATTCCACTGCTACTATACATCGTCTAAAATGACAGTCTGGAGAGACTCTCTGAAGCGCGTATCTTCCTTGTATGCTGATCCCGTACCATTGGTCGTGCAATAAACTGTCTGCACATTAATGTTCCAAGCGTGTATGAAGCCAACATGGTTCCAACAAGCTTGAGGCGTCTCCTCTGATAATTCCGTCATTATACACGCCTTGCAGCGAACACCGTGTCTTTTGCTCGATGTCCACGAGCAGTGTGCCATATACCCGTCTACCAACGAACCGTGCACCTCTTTCTGCGCAGGTCGCAGCCGCGCCAAGCGGGCATCGCTGGCGGACGACTACGAGTGCGTCTACCCGGACGGACTGTTTGCGGACCCCGAGACCTGCCGGAGGTTCTACATCTGCTCGGCGGGCACCCCGTACAGCCAGACGTGTCCGCCGTCGCTCTACTTCGACGACGTCAAGAAGTTCTGCACCTTCAAGAACAAGGAACTCACCTGCGGACCCGTCGACACCAGTAAGTCCGATTCCGAGGTTACCTGCAATAGATGCCCGGATCGCTAGATATCAGAAGCAATGCTCACGAAGGTTTCCGCGACCTAATGAAATAAAAGGCGAGCAAGAACAAGGAGAAAAAGACGGGACAGGTACTGCCCCGTCATTCACTTGTACGTATAGTCCTTGTCCTTTTGCGATGTCAGTGTTTGTTATGTGTAACCAACTAGCCCGCCAGTTTTTACCGCTTGTGACCGTTCACGACGAGATAACACACTGGCGACATCTATCGGGGAGCCCTGAAATACTGGCGATCTGCGTAAATTTATTAACATTTTACGCGTCATCATTTCACCGTATGCTTGACATCATTCTAGAAATGTTATAAGAAACCATTGCTCGTAGACAGCGCCTAGATTTGACCTCGCAAATACTCAAAAACCTTGGGTTTAGAGATATGTAAAGATCGCAAACGTTTCAGGAGTACCGTATAAATGATACTGTGCCAGTTTCTTTTTCTCGTTTTAAAAATGTGTAAACCAAACCAGCATTTGGTATGACAATTCAATGCACTACGGAAACTCTTAGTTCGTGACCTAGACCTTATATAGAAGAACATCAAGTCTGGAGCTCTTTGGAGCACCAAATATTAAGTCAGTCCAAAGTGTTTGTAAGCACTTTGGAGTACCTGGAATTAAGATGTGGACAACTTTGGAGCACCTTAATATAAATTCGGAATACTTTCAATCATCCATCGGGACGTACCGTATACGTTTTAGAGCGCTTAGGAGACCCTAGCTATAAAATCCAGAGGCACTCTGGAACATCTAATATTAGGTCTGGAGCATTTGAGAATACCCAAACATTAAACACGGAGAACTTTGGCACCCGAAACATGTACAGAGGGTACTTTGGCGTACCTAGCTATTGAATCTAGACCACTTTAAGACACCTTAGTTTGGCTTTCGCAGAACTTTACGGTTACGGCACCTATAATCGGAGACAACTGCATTCTTGAAAATGAGGAGGCGTGCGTGTGCAAAGCCTTAGTCGGTTCTCAAACACGCATGCTCTCGTATACGTTTCTTTCAGCAGCAAATGTACATAGTTTTAGTGTTACGTCAGGCGTCAACCGCGATTTATTGTTTGCTCTCGTATAAATACGAGGGGTGTTCAATAAGTTTTGCCACCTGAGTTGTAATTTTTTTTTTTTTTTTTTATTCCGTGATGCGATTGAAAGATGTTGATTCAAATGAAAGCTCGGAATCTCCTCATTTCCAGGAGCACCAGCGGCGGTGCGCCATAATCAACTGCATGCTGTCGTAAAAAAAAAAAAAAAAAAAATGAAGGCGCTGTTGACGCCACCAACGGCGCACTGAATCGGTAACCTCTTCGTCGGACGCAAACTGTATATATACCCTTCAGATATTCCTGCGTCTTGGAAAACAGCCCCAAGTCTGATGGCGCGAGATCCGGGCTGTAAGGTGGGTGAGGCAAAACATCTTGGATTGGATTCATTAAAAAACAAAAAAAAAACGAAAAAAAAAAAAAAAACGCCCTTATTCTTTTACGACGGTTTGCTGGGACTGGTACACCGGTAACGGAAGTGCATAGCGGAGAAAGAGGATATTTCGAACTTTCGCTGGAATGTAACATATTTCAATTGCATCTCAAAAGAAAAGAAAGAAAAGCTACACCCAGGGGTCAAAACGTATTGAACAGCTTTAGTATATTCGCTGCACAGAGTACAACATTTGTCGCCTCTATTTTGTTCAACAGCGACGACAGCGAAGCCGCCCCCGGACCTCGAGGCTGCACCCAAGTGCGACCCTACCGTGTGCGTGCTCCCGGAGTGCTGGTGCAGCCCGGACGGCACGCTGATACCGGGAGGCCTGGAGCCCAAGGACATCCCGCAGATGATCCTCATGTCGTTCGATGGAGCCATGAACCAGATGAACTACCCGCAGTACCGGTCCCTCCTCAACAAGGAACACCGCAAGAACCCCAACGGATGTCCCATCAAGGCCACCTTCTTCGTCAGTCACGAGTACACGAGCTACTTCTACGTCCAGAAGATGTTCGCTGACGGCCACGAGATGGCGTCCAACAGTGTCAGGTCAGCGTCGCTTTTCCATTTCTTTGCAGAACCGAATAGACCCTTTTTCAAAACCCCGTTTAGCAACACTAGCAGTCGCCATTTCTAGGTGGCGCAATTACCGCGCGATATAAAGCCACGGGTCAAAAAGCGCGTGATTGGATCCGAGTCCTCGCCGAACGCTGACGCAAACCTCGTGTCCAATGGCTGGTCCGAATGCGTGCCCAACCAATGGCAGACTGGAATAGTTGGTGCAGCAGCTACTGGATGGTGCGCAGTTTTGAAAAGCGTCAATTCGGAGAGTCGTTACGCTATTGCTAAATCTAGCTCCAGTACAGTCGGTCTGAATCGTGTCATTAAATAAGACTCAGAGAAACGGCATTTCAGCCATCTTGGAGCTCACTTGCCAGTACCCTGAAGCTGCTATATCTCAAATCGAAGAAAATTATTTTTCCAGCCTCCAGAAATGTTAAAACAGTCCGAAACCGAGCAATACGATATCGCAGGTGCTTTCTAACACAAAGCTCGAGAGCCAAAAAAAAAAAAAAAAAAAGGCGGCGCTTACAAGCAATCCGGGAGTGGGGTGGCCATACGACTAAGTGTAGGTTATTTAGTGTCTAGAAACAAATTCACGGCACAGCAGATAAAAGTTGGGAGTCACTGACCATACTTGTTTCTTGCTAGCCTTCCGTGACATCTCGTCCGCGAATAGGGAGGCCATTTTGGAGACAACAATTTTTGTATGATCTCTCAAATCCGTCCATTCATACATACCACAGACTGCGACCTTGTAAAAACCACTGGAAAAGCGACAGGGGTTCTGTAATATAACTTAAAAAGTCCAGACGTTGTATAGCGAGACTAGTGGCATTTTATAGGTGGAAGCATTTTAAATGCGAGGACGTGTTAAGTTAGCCAACAGCCCCCAACTATTTTTAAAAACTTTTGCTATTGCTTAAAGCGCTGGTTTTGTTCTAAAGCTTCCAGAGTATCCTTAACAGATCACCCACACAGCAAATCCATATATTAAACATTTCATAATAGTACGTAAATAGAGATGACAAAGCAAATAACCAATAAGCAGCAACAGCAATTTCGAGTTGCAGATTGCACAAAGCCTTCTTTTAGTAAGATCTCATCGAGCTAAAACCCGCACTCATACTCTGTACTTTCCAATATTGTGAGATAAAAAAGCTTCTAAAATGAGCTGAGATTCCTTACCTTAACTACCAGGTACTTTTTCCACTATTGAAAGCGTCATTCTGAGTTATATCCCATTTTTACAGTCACAAGGGACCCGAGAGCTGGTGGGCAAAGGCCAAGTACGAGAACTGGACCGAGGAGATGGTGGGCATGCGAGAGATCCTGAACCGCTTCGGCAACGTCTCCAAGGACACCATCCTGGGCATGCGCGCCCCGTACCTCAAGCCCGGCGGCAACGAGATGCTCAACATGATCTACGACTTCGCCTTCGCCTACGACTCGTCCTTCGCCGCCCCACCGAGCAAAGTCCCGCTCTGGCCGTACACGCTTGACTATCGCGTGCCCCACCACTGCGTCAACAAGGGCTGCGCCACCCACGCCTACCCTGGCGTCTGGGAGATCCCGCTAAACACCATGTACGGCGAAGACGGCACCGGAGGACAGTGCGTCCTCGCGGACCAGTGCGTGTTCCCTGCCGACGATGAAGACACCGTTTTTGAGTTCCTTCTGGAGAACTTCCTCCGCCACTACCGCACGAATCGGGCACCGCTGGGTCTCTATTTCCACGTCAACTGGTTCACGGACAAGATGAAGACCAAGGCGCTGCACCGTTTCGTCGATCACGTGCTGAAGAACTACGACAATGCCTGGTTCGTGACCATGCAGCAGGCCCTGCTCTGGATGAGGTCTCCCAAGCGCACCGCCGAACTTCGAGAGTTCGACGCCTGGGGATGCGTCAAGAGGGAACCTTCCTGCAACATCCCGACAACGTGCGCCCTGCAGTTCGGTGACACGGACAACTACGGAGATCTGCGGTACATGGAGACTTGCACGGCCTGCCCGGCCAGATACCCGTGGATCGGGAACTACGCCGGCTCCTACAAGGGCAAGATGATCATGGACCAGGTCGCCGACGAAGAAGGACGGTCACCGCCGTCGTCGACGTCCGCTTCGTCGGAGAGCTTCGAGGACAGCCACAACTCCACCAGCGCCATCTGAATCGGACACGACGACGGGAACACGTAGGGGAAATGCAGGAGGACATTTTCTTTTTTTTCACGTAGCACGACCAGTTTTTCCAAGACCATAATCATAATTTATCGTCTCTCGCGCCGCGCATGTAAGAACTGTGTTCTGTTTCATCTGCCATGTTTTGACCCTCCTTTCATTGTTCGCGTTGTTTGTTTGTTTACTTGTTTTTGCTTGTCGTTGTGTAAAGGCACAAAGACTCGTGGGGCGTCTTTTGCCCGAGGCAGGATCAATAAAAACGTTTTGCTGGCTTTTGTACGCAGGTCCTTTGGAAATAACTGGCTGCCGACTGAAATCAGTGAGTGTTCACGTCAGCTATGTTGCTACGAACAGTCGACCGTCGGCGTTCAGCTCTCGCCTTTTGGCGGCAAGCCGCAAAGATGTGTCCCAGAAGCGGCACACCGCCCCAACAAAGCGGGACGCTCTTGGGTCATGCACACCCATCGCAACGCCAGCATGTTCCTTGTAGAGGTGTCCTTGAACGATTCACCGTTGAGCCGCCGATTTCGGTAGACGGAAGGCTTGACGGCTGCGGTTCGGTGGTCCGAAGCGTCGATCTCGACGCGGCGCCATTTCCGACCCGGTACATTTCGGAATCTGCTGCAGCTGCCGGTGATGACGCAGAGGCGTGAATTTCAGTCACTGGAGATTTGGCCACTTTGACCGCTCTGACCATGTCCAGTGCTTTACTCAGTGCTAAAGTGGTCTCGACGAGCAGACGCTGCTGTAACGCGTCGTCATGGAGGCCGCAAACGCGACGCGGTCTCGAAGCCTGTCGTCGATCATTGCGCCGAACTCGCAGTGACCAGTCAAGCGTCGGAGCTTGAAGTTCGCCACAATTTATCTCGGCGGGTCCTCGGGCGCAAATTCTTCGAACTGCAGTTTTGGAGCGATAGCTGCAATGGCTGAGCGCTGCCGCTGTCAATGCTGCACGTTTACCAGTTTACCTCGCCGCCAATGTTAAGTACTGAGTAAGACGAACACATCGTGGGCTTAAGCGCTGTTGCGCCATAGGCTTTTACTACAAAAGGTAAGCATGAGAAAGGCCGCTCTGACTGGAGGCGGCTCAGTGTTCGAATTGTTGCGACCGAGGAGCTTTCCAGGCAGGATCAGGCTGTCAGGCCAGGAGAGGAACCGCAGGACGACTCCAGGCAGGAACATCATGAGACGGAAAGGTCTCTCACGACAAACTTTGTTCAATACATATTTAAAGAAGTTTCCACACCGTCCGAGAGCACGTTTGCGACCTCTTTTTCACTCCTTTTAAAAGGTCGCTGTTCTGTACCCCAGCGGTTGGCAGCCAATGTTGGCCGAGCTGCCAAGCCAACAAACGTCAGATAGACTGGCTCCGCCCCTGTTCACTCCTCCAGCACGCACATACACATCCCCACATTGTCGCAGCAGACGGATTGTGATGGACCTTCCCTGAAGTCCACATCGAGAGCTTGCCTAGTCTATTGTGTCTGGGGTCCGATCCCCGCAGCTGGCACCGTCGCTCGGAATCCTCGTCAGGTAATCCGCCCGTCGTGGTTTCCGCTCGTACTCCGGTAAAAAGGCGGATTAACATCTCACCCAGGTGTCGCGACGTCAACAGGGCGCCGGACGAGGTTGCTAGTCATTAAAGGGATGCTGAACCGAAATTTGCATTTCACAAAATAAGGTAGCAGGAGTGCTCAACGGGGCACCTCACCAAAAGACCACTGATAAAGCGATATCTTGAACGGATGGCCGTATTTTTTGTAAAGATGCGATTGAGCGAGAATCGCGACGTCGCGTTTCCTGCAGAATGGTTGAGGAGGAAAAGAAACGGACTCGCTTCCTTCCCTTTGCTTCCCTCTTCGCGTCCTCGCCGAGCCAAAGCGAGGAGGAAACGAGAATCGCGACGTCACGGGCTTTTTTGGCCTTGTTCAAGCGCGCCCTTCTTTCACAAAAATACGACCATCCGTTGGAGATATCGCTTTATGAGTGATGCCTTCGTGTTGGTAGCGCCCAGCCTAGCGCTTCCGCTTTCTTTTGTTGAATCAAACTTTCGGTTCAGCATCCCTTTAACGGCCCAGACGGCCCTCCTGGGGGCAAGAAGGGGGGACGAAGAAAGGAACGTGACCTTGACCAAGGCCCATCGCAACAGAATGCGTTTGCATGGCGCGCAGAACGCTGGCCCCGTCTCGTGCTTCACGAGCTCGTGCGCTCGCGCCAGCATAGCGTTGGGGTCGATTTACACTACACTTCAGTTGTGTTGACCAAGGAAAACCATAAAACAGACTATTACTACTAATTAGGCGGTTTTCCTTTTTATATATATATATATATATATACCACGCGAAATTAAATATGAACATATTTTGCTCTAAAAATGTACACATATTGGAGGGTTTAGGTAGCATAAACATCAAGTGACGCTTTTTCTTTGTTTGTTTATGTTTGTTCGTATATATTAGAATATTCATACAGCATGAAAATAATTAACTTATCAAACGTAGTTCTTATGATTGTTTTCTAACGATACGCAGCGGGCTATCTGTGTATCCTAAAACAAGGAAAGGCACTTGGGAGTCAAACGCCGTTTCACACCGACTTACCTTCAAAGCTCCCTTTCATAACCAAAAAGGAGTGAAATACCGTATTACTCCCAACAGGGCAGAGACCCTCGATTCGGCGTCAACTTTTCCGTGTGTCGTTATCAGCGTAGTTTTTCCACAGTGCCGAAGCCGCGCACTGCTGCGCGGCGAGCACGTGGCTTCTTGCGACTTATTCAGAAGCTCAAGTATAGCCTTGACAACGCTGGACGAGCTTTTCCTATGAGCGAATTGCGGACACTGCCGTGGTAACATTACCTGTTCTCCGTTTGATAAGTGCACGCTAACAATGACAGTGATGGAAGCGTCATTTGACCTGTTGTAGCAGGTTCTGTAGCGGGCAAAACATTGGTTCGGAGCAGCCACTGACACTTTTGGAGCAGATGCCAACATCTGTTAGCACAACACTTGAAAATGAAAAAGTGATATCAGGGCGAAACAATTCATATTTGATAATGATTGAGGGCTCCTCTTTGATACTGGCGCATATTACTCATTAGCTTTTTGTAATGAGAATAGGTAGGGCACGAAAAGAACACAGAGCCTTCTTTTTTTAGAAATAAGGCTCTGGTCAGAGTAGGTTCCATTTACAGTGGGTACTAGAAACTTTTTAAAATATTTGTCATAGCGCAACACTTCGGTTGGGATAAAGTCCCTCTCCCCTCCCACTTTTACACCGGGCAATTCATCCTGTAAACATAACTGCTGTAAAAGGTCAGCAAATGCCAGCATATTCGATAACACATCTATCAATAAAAATGCATACCCCAAATTTTATGAATCTACTCAACTCAAGCCTCTAATAATATAAACAGCAAAAACTACCACCCACAAACATTACGAAGACCCACACTTGTGCTTTAAAAGTGACTGTTCTTCAGCGGCGTTGGAAGCAAAGTGAAGTCAAAGATGGCTGCTTTTACGTTCGACAGCTAGTGGTCGCCAGAAACGAAATTAACAAGTGCGTCGGAGTAACTCTCGGTGAATGAAAATATAGTAGTGCACGTGATGTTTCAATCACGGTCATCCAAAACCATGGTGGAAGAGCGCGCTATAGTGGAATGATCGACAAAATCCGTACGCCAGGCGCCGAGGGCCGGGAATCTGCCGTCCGAGCGATCGCACCGTCTGAGCAAAACAGAATTCGAGCGGAACGTTCGTTTCTTACGTCTTTTTGCATGGTCATAATCGAAACATCACATGTACCATATTTCAACCATGAAGAGTGACTACATTTAACCCTTACTCTTATTAAAACTGTTTCTCGCGACCACCACTTGGGGATTCTTTTCGGCTTCTGGTTGGCCAAGACAGCATGCCCAGCCCTCTATCTGCGCCTGGTGCCCGCCCCAACTCTGTCCGCTCCTCCCATTGACCAAATTCTTTCTATACACGGCTCTGACCCCAGACGCTCCCCCATGTAAGCCGCTGCTCCTAACACTCCGGTTTAAAGCAGTGAAGCTCTATGCGCGCGCGCTGATGAGACGGTACTGAGGCATGCGGCAGACATGATAATCAAGTGATCTTATCGGGAGTACAAGACCCTGGTTCTGTCTTATCGCAGTAGCCGTCATCCTACTATTATACAATGTATTCTGGCGACTTTTAGCTTCTGGCATCGCCTACATCTTACAGAAATATTAATATAGACGGTGTCGGCGATTAACCCGCAAGCGCATCAACCGACCAGCGCGGTGGACGAGCAATCTGTATGCTTTATTTTAATTCAAAGCACAGCCGATGCTATACGAGCCAATGGGAACAACTAAAGAGCGTCGAAGCGCGACATCATGGCATTCGTCCGTCTTCCTGTACGCGTGTTCTTACATCGACTAAATCAAGTACCGATTGTCCCCTGACTTGCACTTTAAATACGCGTGTTCGTGGCAAACGTGTTCACTGTGTTCCGACTGAAATGGAACAAACTATATGCTGAGCAGAGACGCTGTGCAATACGTATTCGTACAGTTTCTCTTTCCTTTTACTTCTCTAAACATTAGGGTCGACCAATAAAATATTTTTATTTTTTTGCTTCACTTAAAGGGATGCCGAATCTAAATTTTGATTCCACAAAACACGCGGTAAAAGTGTGCAATGAGATGCTACAGACACCAAAACACCACTCATAAAGCGATATCTCGAACGGATGACCAAATTTTTCAAGAAAAGGAGGCGCATTTGACAGAGATGATGTCGTCATGTTTCTCCGAGAAGGAGAGGGAACGGCCTCGCGTCTTCTCAAGTCTTCTCCGCCTCGCAGCCTTGAGGGAGCGAAGCGAGGAGGAAACTCGGTATAGTGATGTCACGCGCCTCGTCGGCCTAGTTCAATCTCGACCTCTTTTTCCAAAAATACGGTTTCGGTTCACCATTCCACTGACAGGGTATTTATGCTCGCCGAGGTTTTTAGTTGTACGTGACATATGAGAGCTCAACTACCCAGAACAGAATTTGCGGCTCGAAATTCGGTTTCTTTCCGCCCGAAAACTGCCGATCAAGAACTGGCCGGTTCGAGTCTCGCTCACTCTCTTTTCCGCGGTCACGGGCCGTTTTCTAAGGTATCGATGCGACCACCAAATTTAATCAAAGTCGTAGGTCACTGAAGGCACACACTCAATATTAAAAATATAAAAAAAATATAAAACCCATTTTTTGTGGCTTCTAAAAAGCTGCAAATACGTTGAT